TGCCCGGGTCAGGAGAAACCAGCGAACTGCACCATTGCATGCGGCGCCCCGATTTTTCGCGTACTGTTTCACCCAGTCCGCTTTTGTCGGAGTAGAACAGTGCCGCAACTCCCCTTTTTTTGTTTTTTCTGTACAGCTGTTCAGCGAGCACCAATCCAAGTACCTTTAACCAGCACAGGGTAGGCCTGTGTTCACCCCATTATTCGGCCAAGTAAGTTGACTGCATGAGTCAGAACCAGAAACTTGGTGGGGATGGTGAGGTTCGGGCGACGGAAGGTCACAGGTTGTTCACACCGGCTTTTTAACCTGCCCTTCACGCCGTTCTTCAACCCCCGCTTAGCCGTCGAGTAGTTTTCTTCTCGTGTGTCCCGGCGGCCTGTACCACTCTCCTCCGTAATTGTCGGCGTGGTACCTTGAACACCGTTTAATCGTGGCTGTTGAGGTTGTCCCTGAAAATGACTTCCTTACAGGGAATCCACTCTCGAAATTGCCGGCCAGTAGTCAACAGTATCAGGCACGCAGCGTCATCCGAGTGTCCTTCGGGGTGTATGGGCCCGAATTGCCCTCGCCGCCTGCGTCCCACTCCTCCTGAGTGCGATTTAGCCACTCCGTTTTCTGTTGCAACCCGTAAGTGTCGGCGGGTCTGAAGTCCCGTTTGTCCACGTGCACTCCTACCGAAATCTTCGATGACGCGCCCGCCATGCAGTAAAAGCCGCTGCACTTCAGTCGGGCGGGACGGCAGTTAACTCCCGCTAAGTCGGGCAGTTTAGTGTCGTCTCTCCTCGTCCACCGATATTTTCGGACGCAAAAATCCATTTGCGCCTGGCGAATTCCCCAGCTGACTTTTTCTCCACAGTTGCTCCGAAATTGTCGCCCGCAGTGACGCACGTCCCTTGTCGCCAGCTGCCAAAACACATTCCGCGAGTCATGCGCGCAAAATGACGACGAACCACCGTCGCAACTTGCCGCTTCAGACGAACTCCGAAATCGTCGCGCAGCTGTTGACCCAGGTCCGACGGCGTCAACTGTCACTCACGTGACGACTTCAAGGCCGTTCATGCAGATGCCAACGCAGGTCCGCTGACGCCGGCTGCCACACGAATAACCTCCGAAATTGTCGGAAATCGCAGCGGAAATTACTCACATAAACGTCGCGACAGCTACTGCTGTCCGTTGCCCGGGGGAGGGAGGCCACGGTCGATCGCGACTGTTCGAGGCAAGGTTCTGGCGGTGCCGAAGGAGTACCCGTAAAACCATGGCCGCGAGGAGCAACTAACCCGTTCTCCCGTTCCCTGAGGGGTACTACACTCTAAAAAGCGGGGTAGGCTAGGAAAGTAGCTCTGATAACAGGTGTTATGATGAACTGCAGAGTGTGCAGTAAAACGAATATCGAGAATGATTGAGTACTGAATTACTGAATCCCGATACAATGGATGTGACGAGGCCTAAATAGGGGAAGTCCTAGCAAGGCGGGGAGGTTGGGCGAAGATGGCTCGGTGATGGATGCGATTGGTGCGGAGGCGACTCGGGGGTGGTTCGGTGCGACGAAATAGGAAGGACAGGTTCGTCGCGTGACCCTCGGGATGGCCTCGCTAACGAGTGCCTCAGTAAGGATTCTGTAAATCCTTACATTTTCCATCCCATTTTGTTAATAATCATATCAGAGGATCCTATATGTAAGTTAGAGTAGCGACGTCGTTCCAGTTACGAGACGCGCCATTTCTCCGCGTCGTGCTCTCCAGATTGTCCACGCAACATGCGCCTCGACGACATCACAATTATTGGAGTGCACTGTGGAATTGCTGGAACAATTTCTGCTCGCCTTCAACTAACTAGTCGATCCAGACAACACCCTCCCCCAAAATTCACCCACCTTTTCCGTCGAAACATCTTCAGTACCAACCTGACGCCCACATGCCATGACGTCTTTTAGCTACAGAAGACTTTATAAACAACCCCAGCACCTACCCACGACGTCTTTCGAGGCGCATGAGCACAGAGACGGCAGGGAACGACCCATCCGCAAGCCATGTATAATAACCCGCTCGTCATTCCGTATCTCAACGTACCCTACAAGCACCAACGTGCTTACATTTTGACCCGCCAGTTCTCACGCTAAAACCGTGGAAAAAATCGTGAAATATACGAATACCATACTACTCAAGTTAGCATCACCATCGCCCTTGCTTAGCTCGCAAGTGACATAATTCGCTGGGCGTGAATCTCCGTCAACGGCATGATGCGTACCGCAAATTTCCTCCTCCTCGCCCTGTCGCTCCTCGCTGCCACGTGTCAATGCCTCTCTGTCCGGCGTAAGTACGGACGCATCAGTTTGACGCATAGGCAGCCGTACCGAACCGCAATGTGCACATGAAACACGGGTGAGTATCATTCGATAACTGACTTCGTTCGCTCCATGTTCCTTTTCCCCCCACCTACAGTTGTCCAAACTAGAAATGGGCCGAGCGGCAGTGGCGGCGGCGGTGGCGGCGGTGGTGGCGGCAGCGGTGGTGACGGCAATGGTGGCGGCAGCGACGGCGGCAGCGGTCTCTATATCGTGCGCCTCCACTCCGCGCTCCCCCTCGCCGCGTATCGCGGGAGCCGTCTCCAGCTTCTCCGGCTGGGCGGACGACAACGATGACGACGAGAGTAGCGACAGCGCCGCCCGCCCGGCAGGGCTGATGGCGACGGCGGAGGCGGTGGACGAAGAGGTGACGGCGACGGGCGGCAGGGTGCCGCGCCGCGCGCGGCTCAGCAAGAACAACCCGCAGGTTAAGGCGTACGCGCAGATGCTGCAGACGCAGCAGGCGCAGATCGCGTCGGAAGTGGGCGTGGCTTCGGACAAGATGGCGTACAGGTGAGCAACCAACGCGTTTACGAGGTAGCGCGCGGATGTGAGATTCTAGACTCAGCCTACTGACTTCTGGCTATCGCACGGATGCGTGGCGCTGAGCAAGATGGCGTGCCGGTAAGTAACAAACGCGTTGGAAGCAGCCCAGTGTATCATAATACGCGAGAAGGATCTTGGTTTCTTACTTCCGATTTGCTTTTGAAGATGCCGGTGCTAACCGCCGGTGCTCACACTGCCACATAGCGGCCCCATTTCTCCGCCACCTTTTTGTTTTTACTCTTTGTCCACACGTCCCGCCTCCTCCACCCCACCTCCCAACTCCTGTCCCCACACCCCGTCCCCCTCGGGCAGCTACATTAGTCCTCCAACCTGATGGCACCTATCATGCTCGCACTTAAAGTAGCCGACACCTCGTTCCTTTTAACCTGTGCCCTCTTCCCCACATCCGCCTCTGTTCTCCCGCCTTTGCACCTCACGTTCTTCCCCGCGCAGCTACAAGTACTCGTCCAACGGCTTTTCGGCGGAGCTGACGGCGGAACAGCTGCGGCGGCTGAAGCGCCACCCCGCCGTGGCGTCCGTGCGCCCGAGCGCGCGCAAGCGCCTCTTCACGACCGAGTCGCCCACCTTCCTTGGGATGAACAGCGCCGGGTCGCTCTGGCCCGCGAATGGCGGGCAGGCGAAGGCGGGCGACGGTACGGTAATTGCCATCGTCGACACGGGGATCTGGCCGGAACACCCGTCGTTTAGCGACACGGAGTTCTCCTCGTCGCGGCCTGCTGGGTGGTCGGGGAAGTGCGACACCACGAAGGATTTTAAGTGCAATAACAAGCTGATCGGTGCGCGCGCGTTTTATAAAGCGTATAAAAGCGCCAACGGGCTGGATCTCTCCGGGGATTGGCTGTCTCCGCGCGACGCCAACGGCCACGGCACGTGGTGTGCGGGGTGAGTCGGGTCGCTGACATTCACTGTGCGCATCGTGTCATACAGATGTCTGCCCATGTTCTCATTCCTAACTCTTCGCAATCCTTTCCCCAATATTCCCTCTCTTCATGTATCCCCAATGCATCCCCCTCCATGCGTCCCCTCGTATGCGGTCCCCCTCCTTCCATCCCGCCTTCCACGCATCCCCCACCTCCCCTACCCTTCGCAGAGCGGCAGCGGGAAACAAGGGAGTGCCCATGGCGGGCGGCAAGGCGAGCGGCATGGCGCCAGCAGCGCGCCTCGTGGCATACAAGGTCTTCTGGTCGTCCAGCGATGGGATGTGGGCGGAGGAGGCAGACATCATCGCAGCCGTAAATCAGGGCGTGGCGGACGGCGTGGATGTGATCTCGCTCTCCCTGGGCGCCGTGAACCCCGAAGACACCTACTTTGATGACATCGCCTTCCTCAACGCTAACTTGGTGTGACTCTCTCAGCTCTCGTCTGTGCCCCTCTCCCTGCTCCTCTCCCTGCTCCTCTCCCTGCTCCTCTCCCTGCTCCTCTCCTTGCTCCTCTCCGTGAACCCCACCCACCGACACCAACTTTGACGACATCACCTTCCTCAACGCCAATTTTGTGCGCTGCTCTCCCCTCCTTCATCCCCTGTTCTCTCTCCGCGCTCTACGTGCCGAACTCTTTGTGCCACCCTCTGTGTGCCGCCCTCTGTGTGCCGCCCTCTGTGTGCCGCCCTCTGTGTGCCGCCCTCTGTGTGCTGCCCTCTGTGTGCCGCCCTCTGTGTGCCGCCCTCTGTGTGCCGCCCTCTGTGTGCCGCCCTCTGTGTGCCGCCCTCTGTGTGCCGCCCTCTGTGTGCCGCCCTCTGTGTGCCGCCCTCTGTGTGCCGCCCTCTGTGTGCCGCCCTCTGTGCGCCGCCCTCTGTGTGCCGCCCTCTGTGTGCCGCCCTCTGTGTGCCGCCCTCTATGTGCCATGCGCCCACCTCTCCTCACATCACACCTACTTTGACGACATCGCATTCCTCAACGCCAGCCTGGTGTGCCTCTCGTCACCTTGCTCTCCTCATTCGCTCACCTGTGCCTCTCGCCACCTTGCTCTCTTCATACGCTCGCCTGTGCCGCTTTCCCTGTGCCGCTTTCCCTTCCTTGCTCCCTTTCCTGCCCACCTTCCTGCTTCCCGCCTTGCTCCCTTTTTTCTCTCCTCTCTGCTCGGTGTCGCGCACTCTCCTCGCATCTCGCCTGCTTCCACATCGCACTCCTCATCGTCAACGTGCTGCCGCTCCCTCGCCCGATTGTCCCCCGCTGCTCGTTTTTCAACGTGGTGCTGCTCGTTTGTCAGCGTGGTGCTGCTCCCTCTCCTAAACCCTCGCTGTGCAGCACACCAGCATTACTATGCTCGGCTTATCTGCTGCTCTCCTCTCTTCTCATTTCCTCTCCTCTCCCTTCTTCCCTCCTTCCCAATGGTCAGGCGGGGGTGGTCGTGACCTTTGCTGCGGGCAACGACGGTCCCCCCCAAGGATACCGCTCGCTCGACAACTATGCACCCTTCTACCTTACAGTGGGCGCCAGGTGAGCCAAGCCAGCTGCCTCACAGTGGGCGCCAGGTGAGCCAAGCCAGCTGCCTCACAGTGGGCGCCAGGTGAGCCAAGCCAGCTGCCTCACAGTCTGACTCACAGAGCCTGCTGCCTCGCTCCCTCTACCTCCATCATCACACTTTCATCTTGTTTGACTGTGATGCGGGTTTGCGAAGCACAGAGTTCGGGACGTTTTCGTTGCTTCCCTCCCTCAACTCCTCTAGCTTCCCTTATTAATACCACCATCCTCACCCCATTTCCCCCCAACGTCCCCGCATCTCCATGTCCCACCCCCCACTCCTCCCCTCCCCCAGCACCATCGCCCGAGGCGGCCTCACTCTTGCCAGCTCAGCGGGCGCATCCAGGTCAGCAGCAGCATCCACCAATCTGACGTCATCCTCCGCCACACCCTCCGCCAAGCCCTCAGCCGGCGATTCCGCGCCCAACGTGGCCGATTTCTCCTCCACGGGTCCCCTCATCTTCCCAGACATCGGCACCGGCGGTGGCCTGGCCACCGACTCAATCTTAAAGCCCGACATTGTCGGCCCGGGAGTGGACCTCTATGCTGCTGCCCCGGGCACGCGCGTGGGCGACAAGGGCGGGTCGGCTCAGCTGTCCGGGACGTCCATGGCGACGCCTCACCTGGCGGGGATTGCTGCGCTGGTGATGCAGAAGTACCCTTCTTGGAGCCCCGCGCAGGTCATGTCTGCCATCATGACCACAGCTACAACCAAGGACGTCAACGGCGCTGCCATCTCTAGTGCCGCCTCAGGGCAAGCCGCCACGCCATGGGATATGGGCAACGGGCATGTGTTCCCACCCAAGGTTCTCGACCCCGGGCTCACGTATGACGCCCGGAAAAGCGCTTATCTGAATTTCCTGGCCGGGCTGGACATGCAGAGGACCCGGTCAGAGTACCCGAATGAGAAGCTCACCTCTGTGCCTCCCAGAGAGCTCAACCGCCCCACCATCGCACTTGCCAGCCTCAAAGGCAAGATAAAAGTCACACGCACTGTCACCTGTGTCGCTGACTCTGCCTCCACTTACACTGCCAAGATTCAGAAGCCTAATGGGGTGGATGTTACTGTGAAGCCCAGCAGCTTTGCCATCTCGCCTGGTCAGAAGGTCAGCTTTGTGGTGACCTTCAAGGTTACTAAAACCTCAAAAAACTTTCAGTATGGGAGCCTCACTTGGGTGGACGAAAAGGGTCACTCTGTTCGGTCGGCGATTGCTGTAAAGCCTGTCAGGAAGTGAGTGAGCAACATGGTTGGGAGTACATGGTTTTGGGAATAATGATGGACCAACCAGGAATTGGTGGTTCATACGAGCTTGCTAAATAAATATGCAGTCTCTGATATTTGCTTGAATGTTATTAGATATGTTAGTTTCAAATATTATTAGATTTCTTTTCTTTTTGAGGCACATGTGATCTCTATCCACCTGAATGGCTAGTAATGGAAGGACGTCCCTAGTTTTGCTGAACCATGAATTTGTACAAACCCAAGGCCTGCTCAGGATTGCGCTTGCCTTATTCATCTGCCCAACCAGCATATTTCAGCATTTCTGTCAGAGTAAGTGACCACCCAAACCACTATGTCTGAAAGAAAACTATCGCGGTTCGTCGGATCATACGGTATCGGGCCGCATAGCTCTGAACCGACACTTTCCCCTCCCAGGCTTCATGTTTGGCTCAGTCAGTGCCCTGCTTCAATAAGGGCATGTGTCTTTTGGTGTAGACGTTCGGAAAAAAGGTCGACCTTTTGCTGGTAACCGGCTTCGTTAATTTCGCTTAACACTGTTTGCGACGTTTGTGTGTCCATGTAAAATGTTTGAGAAAACAGGACACTGAACTGGGGTCGACCTCGCTTTCGATTTTTTCGTCCACGTTTTTCCAGTGTGTTCCACTGCTCACGGACGAAGCAGCAGCGAGAATTGCGACGTACACGAACTGCTTCGTTGCGAGTTACCGAAGTCGGATTCGGTCACGAATGCCTTTTTATAGACCAGGTAGCCTACGAAATGTAGGCGCGAATCGGGATTTACTTAATAAAATCGACCTTCGACAGTCGAACTTTGTTGGTTCATGTGCTTGATGTGAAAAAGGAAAGAAACAATGAGAAGGGAAGAGGGAAAATTTTCAGGACTGTCGACAACAAGTTGACCAAGGTTCAAATGTATTAAGTCGCAAAAGAACATGAACTTACAATACACTCCAAAAGACACACGCCCTAAAAGGCCATATATTACTCAAGATTGTCAAGACTTCAATTCGTGTTGGAATATAGCAGCTGGAATAAATCAACTATGAAAGAGTTGGGTACAAGTATGGAACCCTAATAGGGGCTGTACCCCATATTGGCTACCCCACTACATCCTACACATAAAACATGCATATACTTCGACACACCCCCATAGGCAAAGTGGGGGAGAGCAAGGGGTCACAAGACCAGTCAAGCGAAGCAAAGCAAGCTTAGGGTGGATCACAACGTCACCACACACACTGAGCACAAGCAAATGGCCACAAGGCCAGTTCACATGCAGAGGTACATATGCAACACCAATAGCACAGTGATCTCTACCTAGCAGAACAAGCATGCAGGTATATATATAGATCACAGTACAAGCAAAGTCTACAGCAAGTGAAGAAAAGTGGGCACAAGGCCTAATAAAGTACAGAAACGCTGATGATCACCAGACGGAAGTGCCTTGGTGAATATATCAGCAGTGTTGGCCCGAGTGGCCACGTGAGCAAGACGAAGTTGCCCACGCTGCTGCAACTCTCGAGCCAGGAAGTAACGCAGAGCGATGTGCTTCGTTCTGTGCTCCAGTCTGTGCTCCTGACACAAGGCAATGGCGGCCTTGTTGTCGACGTACAGCACTGGAGGAGAACGAGGCGGCTCTCCCAAGCAGGGCTGTCGATTCAAGGGCATTTGCCCTTAATGCCCTGAACATTCCGGGTTATGTTCGGTGCAACTCGACCATTTTAAGGGTTTGATTCGAATGGCACCCGTGCCAGTTAAGGGCATCGTTTGGCCCTTCCCCGGACGCGTTAAGTGCTCAATCTGGGCCATCCCCTGAATCTAATTTATACTTTCGGTTCCGCAGAACCCCCCCCCAAAATCTTGCGGAACACCCCCCTCCCCTAACCCCCCCCCCCCCTTTCCATAAAAGTTGCACAGTAGGGCTCTAGGTGGAGGATGTTTCACTCGATTTCTATCCAATCTAGTGTGTGTCTAGTGTCGAAGTCAGCAGATGAGTAGAAATGCAGTAGGTAGTGCAATTGTAGTTGTAGTTGGAAGTTGTGACATACATGTTGATTGGAGTAGTTAGCAGTGAAAAGTATGTGATTTTCTTGTCTTAGATGTTGTTTAGGTTAGTTAAGTACACAACACTTTGGAGCCCGGATTTCAAGTTTACACTTCGGCCTGCACCCGTGACCGTTAAGGGCGAAAATTTGGTCACCTCCCTGAAAATCAGGGTCAGAATTTCAGCAGCTGAGGGCCTCAAGTTCTGCCCCCACGGATATCGACAGCCCTGCTCCCAAGTCGGTCAGCAGGTAGGTGAGCCAGCGTAACTCCTGTGCATGCATGGCTGTGGCGTGGATCTCAGCCTCATAACTGGAGCTGCGAACAGAAGACGAGAGTGTAGAACGCCAAGAAACTGAACCAGAGCCAAGGCTGAAGGTGTAACCCTGTGATGACCGCTGCATAGCCTGGTCGTCAACCCAAGAAGCGTCTGAGTGCCCAGTGAGGACAACTGCGCTCCGCCCTCCAAGCACGAGCCCCATGCCCGATGTACCGCACAAGTAGCGCAGCACCCTCTTCATAGCATCCATGTGCACCTTTCGGTGCCGACCAGGAGCCACGTAGCGAGCCAGAAGGCCAAGAGGGTACGCAAGGTCAGGTCGAGTGCAAGTCATCAGGTACATGAGGCAGCCCACTAGCTTTGGGTACGGGCCACTCGGCTCTACGGACTCGTCCGAAGGTGGAGCTGAGAGCGAGTGGCCTGTAGCCAGAGGAGTGTGCTGTGGCGAGGACCAGGTGAAGCCGAAGCGCTGAAGGACCTGCTGCACCATGTGCGACTGAGTAAGTGTGATGGTGCGGCGTGCTCTTTCCCGGGTGATTTGCAAGCCAAGGTAGCTGTGCTGTTCACCCAGGTCTATGCACGTGTGTCTCTTCTGCAGCTTCGACTTCACCAGGGCGAGAGCCTCGGTGTCAGCAGTGGCAAAGACCAAGTCCTCGACGTACACAAGGATGTAGAACGGCGGCAGCAACGAGTTAGTGCGCAGAAACAACGACGGGTCAGCAGTCGACGGAGCAAACCCAAGAGCTGCAAGTGTTGTCAGTGTGTCGTGCCACTCACGTGGTGCCTGGTGGAGACCGTAGACCGGCCGCCGGAGGCTCCACTAGTTACCAGGAGGGAACAACCCAATGAAGCCAGGAGGGCGGCGGAGCTAGATCTCCTCATGCAGGCTGCCCTGTAAGAAAGCTGTGGTGAAGTCAAGAGAGTGAAGCTCGTAGTCACGCTGAGCGGCAACGTGCAGCAGCACCCGAAGTGGTCATCTTTGGGGTGGGGGAGAAGGTCTGGAAGAAGTCTACTCCCTCTCGCTGACTGAAGCCTCGAGCAACGTAACGAGCCTTGAAGACAGGCGGAGAACCTGGCGGCCGCTTCACCCTGAAAATCCACATGCCACTGACGATGTTCGCCCCAGGAGGGGGATCCTCGTCAATGTAAGTGCCTGTGGACTTCCAGGATGCCATCTCTGCGTCCATGGCTGTCTGCCACTGTGAGAAGTACTCACCCGCGATTGCCTCTGCGTAAGAGCGCGGGGTCGGGATGTTTGGTGCATCCGGGTCTCCCTCAGGGGCAAGCAGCATGGACACGAGATGAGGCGCAACGACTGCAAGACACTCAAGGTCCTCCTGACTGTCCTCAATGACGTCCGTGCAAAGAGCACACTCACCCCCGACGGATGGAGGATAGACAGATTCAGACTCAGCAACAAGACCAGCGGCGTAGTCTAGACCAAAGGCAACAGCAAAGTCAAGAAGCTCAGTGACTAGGGCAGACGCAGCAGCTGACTCAAAGGAAAGGTCAGTGATAGCCGTGGCCAGGAGACGCGTGACAGTAGGACTAGCAGCATGAAGAGAGTGAGACTCCGGGTCAGCAAGGGCAGGAAGGGAGGACGCAGGAGGAGAAGGCAGAGGGACACGCTGTCGTACGGTGGAAGGACGAAGCGTCATGTGGTGAGTGCCTGGGACGAGATGCTGACGTGGGACATGACGACCAGTGCGAGCAGCACGAACAGGTGATGCAGAATGAGACTCAGGCGACATAGGACGTTACTCAGGCTCACGACGCTCTGTAAGACCTCCTGTCGGACCAGTGACAACTATGGCTAGCAGACGCGTGACACTAGGGTGAGCAGCACGGGTGTGGTCAGACTCAGGCTTAGGAACGGTAGGCAGAGAAGTCGTAGGAGGGGACGGCAGGGGAACACGCTGCGGAGGAGAGGAAGGACGATAAACTACAAAGTAGGTGCCGGTGACAGCCGGCTGACGCGAACGAGGAACACGACGACCAGAATGACCAGATTGGACAGGCGAGACAGGACGCGACGCAGGTGCACGACGCTTAGTAAGACCCCCTGTCTGCTCAGTGTAAGGAGATGGAGCAGGCAGCGGTAAGCCAGGCTGTAACGGAAGACCAGTAGACGAAGGGAGACTAAGAACCTGGCGAAGCGCAGAGTCAGACGGTGGCTGAGACGACGGAGACGGTGGAGCAACAAACAGGTGCGGCTGTGCAATGCCACCAGCACCAGCAGCTCCAGCACCCCCAACAGCTCCAGCACCGCCAGCAGCTCCAGAACCCTCAGCGCCAGCTCCTATAGGACCAGCTCCACCAGCAGCAGCACCCCCAAAACCGGCACCTCCAGTCCCAGGGTCTCCAGCCTCAGTGTCTCCAGCAGCAGCACCCCTAGACCCAGGGTCTCCAGCAGTAGCACCCTCAGGCTCATCACCTCCAGCCCCAGCAGCTCCAGTACCTCCAGTACGAGCACCTCCGGGACCAGGACCACTCCCAGCTCCAGTGACGCCAGCAGAAGTACCTCCAACGGCATAGCCCCGAGCTCCAGAAGCGCGACCCTGACGGCGACCGTACCAGTCGTGCAGCTGCTGTGAGGTGAGAGGCACACACGGTTAAAGGTGGCTAATCCAAGGAGACCGGGCAACAGAAGACTCAGAACCCTCAGCGCC